CTGGACAGCGGCGCGCCAGCAGCCTTCGACCTCGCGGGGGGCGGCGGCGCGGGGGGAGTCGCACGAATTCGGGGTTGGCGCGGTGATGTGTGCGAAGGGGGACATGTCAACTAGGTGCGCTCGCGCCGGCTGGCTACTCGCTGAGCAAGGTATCCCGTCGCTTCCTGAAGTGGCCGCTCTGCGCGCGAGCTTGCGCGCGCCAGCGCGGCTGCACCGATGCGCCAACCAGCACCAAGCAGTCATCGCAATCGCAGCCGCATGGGTTTTGCAAACCAAGCTGTGGGTGGGTGGGTGGGATGATCGCGCGAGCAAGGAAGCTGACAGCTCCAATTTCTTCAACATTGATTGCATTGCACCGCACATGCTGCTCGGCATGCACTGTTCGGGGCCCATGCTGGCTAACATTCCTTAGCACTGTGCCTTCATCATGGGATCCTCAATGGGAAATCCTTTGAAAAATGATGCGGAGCGAGGGCCCATTTAATGTGGAATCATTCGCAAGGATGCCTTTGTTCCGGAGCCCTGGGGGTCCTTAGTAAGAGCGTCTGTAGTCCGGAATTCCCTTGATAAAGATCCATGCAGGACGGAATCCTCAATCAACATTTTGGAAATAAGCATTCGTCCGTAAGGATGCCTTTTTTCGAGGATTCTTGTACAAAGGGACCTTTCATAAGGATCCCACGTGTAAGAGTTCACCAGAAAATGTCACATCAATGAGAAACCTGCGCTAAGAATCCCTTTCGTGAGACGTCCGTACTGCAAGGGGATCCTGTAAGATCGAACTCTTGGTAAGGATGCCTTTAGCACAAAATCCTTGGCAAAACTCCTGCAGAAAGGATCCGTTTGTAAGGATACTTGTCATACGCATTCATCGAAGGGCGCCTTTGGCACGGACTCCTTAGCGATGGTGCCTTCTGGGGGTGATCCTTCAGAAAGATCCATTCAGCGAGGGAGCCGGAGCAACACACACAACCACTCAACCACACAACCACACAAATTCACAAACACCCAAATACGCAAACACATCCACACACAAACACACAACACACAACACACAACACACAACACACACAACACACAACACGCAACACACATACACAAACACTGTGTGAGATGTGTGAGGACTCTTGTGTAAGCGGTCCTGAAGTAATGCTACTGTAATACGGGATCCAAATCATGGCCCCTTAGTCCACCGCGGCTTTAAGTGCCAATTTTGAATAAGAAAGAACTCCTCTGGGTAAGGATACCCGGGTAACAACGTATCTGAGGATCTCATTGTTACGGAGTCCTTCGTAAGGATGTCTGTAGGAAAGGGTTCCCTCGGTAACGACACCTGTGGGAAGGATTTCTCAATAACGGTCCCTGTCACTGGGGGTGGATTCCTGTCACATGGGGTGGCTCAGAAACGATACCTTTACTAAGCGGTCATCAGTCAAGACCGCTGTCACCGAGGACTCCGTCTCAAGAAACCCTTGCGTACTCTGTGGGTTCCTGTAGTAAGGCAGATCGAATAAGGTTGCCTTTCGCACGGGGATCGTTGGGAAGCGCCCACCTCCTAACTACAAGGATCCCTTAGTAACGATGCTTGTAGCAAGTATTCACAAGTTAGGGTGCCTTCAGCAAAGGGCTCCTTAGCAAGCATGCCTTTCGAGGGGAATTCTCGGTAAAGATCCCTTGGCTGAAGAGCCCAGAACAGACGCACACATTAAACATAACCATGTGTAAGGAGTTCTTCCGTACAAAAGAATCCTTAGCCAAAGCAAAATCATCAAATATGGTCTTTACTAAGGGTTCGGTATAAAACCAATCATGCTGTTACGCTGAAGTCATTCGTACCGGTGCCTTTGGTAAAAGCGTTCCTTGGTAAAGGTGCCTTTAGCGATGACTCTTTAGCAATCGTGTCGTTTTCGATCGGGATCCCAAGTGACAGTCCCTTCGCTGAGAAACCCGAAGCAAACACGCAAGCACACAACTTAAGGAATCCGTTGTACAAAACGTTATGCAACAAACCAGTGCCCTTGAATACGGAACTCGGTTGTACATGTGTGTCCTTTGTAAGGGCGCCCTTCGTGATAGTTTCAGAGTGGGAAACATGTGTTGGAGCAAGATCCCTTTGAAGGGTGCCTGCGGTAAGGGGTCCTTGGTACGGATGCCTTTACATACATTTTCACGAACCAGATATCCTCGGTACGGGCTCCCCCCAACAGGGGCTGCTTTAAGGAAAGGACGTTTGATTTCTGGTAAGCCTGAATTTCTTGATATGGATGCCTCTGTGGGTAAACGATCCTGAAGAATCCTTTCCTCATGCGGGATCGTTTGGGTACGGAATCCTTCGCACTGGTGCTTCCACTATGGGATATGCAACATAGGTTCCCGGTGGAGAAGAATCCAAACCAAAAACCCATGTAGGAAAGAAACCATAAAACTGACCCCTTTGTTACGGAATCCTTCGTAAGGATGCCTGTAGAGATACACTCAGGAAGTGTTCCTTCGTAAGGGTTCTTTGGAGGAGCGATGCCTCAATAAGGATGCCTTAATGAAGACTCCTGTAAATCTTGTGAAGTGCCTTTTCGTTTTGCTGCTCGCGGGAGGGCACTTGCTCGGGTAATAGGTCGTGACGTCGTGGTCAATCATGGGTGGCGTGGTCTTGTTTCCTGTGCAGCTCAATATGCCGCGAGTTGGGTGCGCTATGCTGTTTTTTTCGGGGGGGCGCCTGCAATTGAATGTGGGAGAGCTCGACCCGCATAGAGAAATCAGGACCACCACGAACGAACCGCGACCAACATCGACAATCTGTGAAGGGAAACCACCGCGTCAATGTTAGCAGGGGTCGTGGAATGGGTCAGCACCCATATACCTGTACACACACGACAAAAAACGCTGCCTGTCCAACATCTCATGGGAATGCGTACGGCATAGCATGGTGTACGCTCCCAACTGCCATACACACGTGTTCCGCCTTCCTTGTTGGGTCGACGTCCTGGACAACACCGCCAACTGAACACAGACACAGGAATGGATGCTTCTGTCCGGAGAGAGGACATGCTGTGCAGAGGCAGCCAGCGGGACTGCAGAGGGAACGCCTGTCGGGAGATGGACGGGGGTGCATACCGACGGGCCGACAGAAACGGGCCTCGTGGACAGCAGGAACCCCGGCTTCTTGGACCTGCCCCCCGCCGCCAGCGCCAGCAACGCCATGGACGTGGCCTCTCCGCTGCGAGGCGGGAATAGGGGGCGCGGCCTCCGCCCCAGGCCGAGGAGGCAGAGGCGCTGCGCACGCGAGATGCCACGCGGCCCTTCACTCTCTGCCTCGCCCCGCGTCGCATCCGTTCCCGGCGTCGTTCCTCCCCCACCCCCAAGCCAGCCCCCAACGATCCAAAAGATTACGTCCTTGCTTTTTATGCGTTCGGGCCTCGGGAGGCCCGTATGGCTCGATCCAGGAAGAATCCTACTGTGGGCTGGATCCAGCTCTACTAGGATCGCATCGGGCCAAGATCCAACTTTACAAGACCCATTCTACGGGCTGGATCAAGCTCAGATAGGGTCTCACTACTGCTCGATCCAACTCTAATGGCATCCTTCCGGATCCAGCACCAACACAATCTTACTGGAGCTCGATCCAGCCTTAATGGGATCCTACAAAGGATGGGTCTACTTCTACTGGAACCTGATGCGGGCTGGCTCCAGGTGTAATGGAATCCCCTCGCTCCAACCCCCCGCCCCCCCGCTGGTTCGGTCGGACCGGGACGGGGGGGCCCCCCACCCCTCCTCCGGTCTGAACCAGGAGGGGGGCCTCTCAACCGCCCCCCCCCCTGAGCTGGGGGGAAGGGGGCTTGCCAGTAGCGGCAGAAAGCGGCGCTCTTTCGGATGTAGACTGTTCCCCTCGGGTATTGCGGGGCCTGCCCGCATCTTTGGGGATGTTTCTGGCGGAGCTGAGATACCATGGGCCAGTGGGGATGCGGGTGCAAGTTCAGCAAAACTGACTTCGCTCATCTAGAGGCGTTCGAATAGATGGGGCTCATCTAGAGGCGTCCGAATAGATGGGGTCTGAGTAGATAGGGTGTCGGAGGATCATGCGAGGCATCGGCGATGCGTCGGCGACGATGCATCGGCGACGTCGGCGGTGCAACGGCGTTGCCAGCGCGGAGAACACTTGGCTCCGCATTGCGCCGTATCGGCGATGCATCGGCAATGCGGATCGATCCTTCGACCCCATCTACTGGAACCCCACTTGGGAGGCCTAGACCATCGACGACCTGATCAGAAAGGCGCCCGCGATCAACAAAGAGCAAGCCCCGTGCGGAGCGCGACTCTTAGAGAGAGCCCACGAAACACCTACGCGCCCACCCACGTGCCTGAACACGGCCTCAGAATCCGCGAGACTGGCCGCGTGACACGAACGTTCGCGCAATGCGTGCTCTCGAGACCAACGTGGACTCATGCAAGTGTACGTCGTTCCTCTGCTCCAGGATCTGGGAGGCCCGGACCATCGGCGCCCGCGACCAGCACGGCGCCCGCGCTCAAAAAGCGCAGGCCCCGTGCGCAGCGCGACTCTGCGGCCGCGCCACTCCTTCGGCCCCTCCCCTTCCTCCGTGCAGCTGCGCGCGCCGCGCGCAGATCCCCAGCCCCGCAGGACCCGCGGCCGTCACGGAGTGCCTCTGGCGCCGCTGGCCAGAGAAGCGCGGCGGGGCAAGCCCCAGACGAAGGCATCGGACAGGGACAGCATCGGACAAGGAGACGGTCGGGTACGCACGGATCCGGGCCAGGGTGAGGTCGCACGCTGCAGGGCCCTGCAAGATCATGCGCGGTCCTGCAGGACCCTGCGCCTAAGCCCGGGCCGATGTAACCCTGACTCTGCAGGGTCCTGCGAGATCTGGCGCTCTGACTGACCCCCCCTTGCATTGACCCCCGCCTCAGGAGCCCCGGGATACATCGGGGATCTCCGAGATCCAGCGGTCTTAGAACATGTGTCGGCCGCCGCGGCCTTCTCCGAGCCTTCTGTCGGGCGGGCGGTAATGTGGGGCGACCGAAATGGGGGGTCAAGAAAAGAGCCTTTTCGGGTCCTATTCTCCACCCTCCATATAGGTCACCCCCCATTACAACCCGCCCGATTCTGAAACGCCCCGGTGGCGTTCCGGAACGCTCTGGAAAGATTTGCGTCGCGCGCAGCCCCACGCCGAGCCCGCAGCCGCCACGGGATGCCCCCGGAGCCGCTGACCAGAGAAGCGCGGTCTGCAGGATCCCCACGGCATAAACACACACTTTCGGGGGTCCGCGGATCCCCTGGATTGGCGCTGGGCCTCCTCCCTGGCGCGCGGATCGCGCCAGGGGCGACGCCAGAAGCGCCGCAAGGGAAGCGCGGCGCAGATCCAAGAAATCCGCCTGGACTTCCGAAAGCTTATGTCGGGAGCGGCCAAGATCGAGGGGGGTGTCCAAGAGGGGGGGGTGCAAATCATGACTGGCGGCATGTGCGCGGCCCAGCGGGGGGGCCAGGGACGTAATGGAATAAGAAGAGGCGCCATGACATCTGAGGAAGTATCATGGCCCCCGCCATGACATCCACCCCCCCCTGGCCATCACCCCCCTCTTTGCCGCCCCAGATTCTGGCCGTGCTGCCCTCGAGTGCCGTGCGGTGCCCACGCGCCGACACGGCCCGGGCCGGACTCCGCGGGCGAGCACGCCGCATGGCTGCCTCCCCGCGTGCCCCCTTCGACCCTCCGGGTGGCGTTCAAGGGGACGGGCGCCCGTGGCCACGGTGGGGAGCCGCGGGGGGGGGCGGACAAGCCTGGGCATCTTCTCGGGGCGGGGGGCTCGGGGTGGAATACATATGGGCTTTGGCACCTCGAAAGTCCATCCGTCTTGTGGTTCACCTTTTGCAGATTCGAGCCTCGAACACCCATCGAAACGGCATTTCAGATTTCACCCTTTGCCCTCCACCCAAAGAAAATGCTCGGCAAGCATGGGAGGAGAATGGGACAAGTGTCCATCGGCCCCGCGTGGCTCCCAACTCCGGGTCAGCTGGAGGGGACTGGCTGACCCCGTTGGCGCCGACCCCCGTTGCGTGAGCCCCGAGGCCATGCTGCAGTACACCTCTGATCCTCATGGATCCGTGCGTGGAGTGATGAAAGATACGGAGTACTCGAACGGCTTCACTTACCGCTGGGCATGAGTCCGTTTCGGGGCCGCCGCAGGAGCTTGTATATGGGGGACGTTTTAAAGGTGCTCCGTCAAGGGGAAGAGATAACAAGTCCCCGTCTCGCTGGAGGCATGCAACAACACACGTGCACCCATTGGCACGCGCACGCACGGCCGTGGACCCAATATCTTCCCTCTCTGTTTTGGTGTTCTATTTGTGTTTGTTTTCTCTCTCCCTCTCTCTATCTCTCCCCCGGTTTTCTCTATCTGTATCTCTCTCTTTCTCTATCTCTCTTTCCCTCCACCTCTCTCTCTCTCTCTTTCTCACTCCATCTCTCTCTCTCTCTCGCTCTTTCTATCTCACTCTCCCTCTGTCTTTCTCTCATCCGCATTTGCGGGGTTATACGTCCCTCTTCAGTACGAGGATCGCCCTTCTAAAACACGATGGCCCCGTGGGCGTGCCATGCAGGCGGGCGCCGCACTTGGAAAAGGAACTGGCCAACGCCATCCGTGCCATCATTCGGTAGGTCGATATGTAAGCGCATCATCCCCGTTGCGAGACGGAACCGCTCTTCCGCCGTGTAGTTGTTGCACATCATGTATGTGTCGAGCAGTGCATTATGAAGACACCTGAGACAGCAAAAACAATGTTGCAAAAATGTTTCCACCATCCTTCCGCGTGTCTGTTGCACATCCGATGCTTCGGGATACAAGTTTGAGGGCTCCTCAAGCGATATCTGAATCGATGTCCAGAGTTGCCCTGGAGCGCGCTTCGACCAAGAACTTCAAACGGATCTTGCCACGCACGGCGACGAAGGTCCCGCCTGGAGGGCCGCACAACAACATAATTAGATTCAACGGTGTGTTCCGAGAAGTCTGGCCGCCCCGGAACATGCCATGCCTTTGAATGCAAACGTTTGCGTTTGCTTCCGCCGGCGTCCGAAAAACCTTTCGCCGCGTGCAGCCGACCCTCCTCCGCTCTCCGCCGAGGAAGTGTTGCCATGTCTTTCGAGCCCTCGAAGGCGAGGCCCCTTCTGGAGCGCCGCGCCTATGCTTCCTGGGGGTGCAGCCGAGGCGCCTGCAAGTCACGTCACGCACAGTGAGCGGCTGCTCTCGCGGCTGGCAGCACATCGGAGGCCGCCGTCTCAGTAACGGGAAACAGTGAAGAGGCGAGCTGGCGGGGCGGGGACTGGTCGGCGAAGGGGCAGGGAGAGAGTCATAGAACGGGCCAACTCGGCAGAGACGTTCTGAAGTATCGGGTGGACGGTCGCTGCCAATGACTCTCCACCCCACAGGTTGAAATTTGGAATGATAAATCTAAGAATGTACAGCGGCCGCCGAATCCCACGGAGCTTGGTGCTCCCTGGGCATATCCCGCCTCCGGCCTTCCACGAAACCGCGCCTGCATGCCGCGGCCGCCTGGCCCCCAAGGGGACCGGGTGTTCCCCGGGGATCCCGCTTCGCGTTCTCGGGTGGGGGCCGCCCGGAGCAGCACAACTGGCGGGAACTCCGTTGGCCATTCTATGCATCTTCGCCCCTCCTGGAGGAGGAGGAGGAGGAGGAGGAGAAAGAGGAGGAGGAGAAAGAGGAGGAGGAGGAGGAGAAAGAGGAGGAGGAGCAGGAGGAGGAGGAGGAGCAGGAGCAGGAGCAGGAGGAGCCCCCTCGCCCCGCCAGGCCGCCTGGCCCTGCTGGTCCTGCCTCGGCGCCGCATTCGAGCGCGCGAGCGCCGCCTCGCCATGGAGGGGCGCAGGGGCAGCCACAGGGGGGGCGGGGGGAGGACGAGGAGGAGGAGGAGGAGGAGGAGGAGCAGGAGGAGGAGGGGGAGGAGGAGGAGGAGGAGGAGGAGGCAAAGGGGGCGGGGGGGGGGACACCCAGAGGGGGGCAGCCACAGGGAAAGGGGGGCGCGGCGGCTCGCCATGGGAGGCCGCGGCCCAGCTCCCAGAGGAGGTGGCCGCTTCCATCTCGGCGCTGTTCCTCGATTTCGGCCTCTGGGGCCGCCATCGGGCCACGGGGCCATCCAACATATATCGGGGACGAAAAACACCACCCCCCCAGGGAAGGGGTCGGGACTTCTGGGACCGCGGATCGAAAAATCAGATCGGAGGATGCCTGGGGAGGAGCGTGGAGGCACCCCCTGGCATTCTCGGCGAGGATGCCCGGCGGTGCCGTCGCGATGTTTTGCGACGCGAGGGTTTCTCGCGTCTCAGAAAACGAACGACGGCCCATTTTTGGCCGCTTAAAGCATCACCAAGGCCCAGGACCGGCAACACGAGGCTCAATATGAGAAGCTGGTCACCGGGGTGGGGTCCAGACCTCTAGGGGGTGGGAAAAACGCAACGGCCGATGTCTGGGCAGGGAGGGGGAAGGAACGCAAACATAGGTGGAGGACGGCGAATAGCAGGGCGAGGAGGCGGGAGAAGGGAGGAGGAGACGAGGAGGGATGGCGGAGGGGGTATAGATCGGAAGGAAAGGGATCTCCAAGGGGTCGTCTGCGGGCCGGCCATCAAGCACCGACCTGCGACGCGGCACCAGTCCCTGGGTTTGGCGTGAAGACCCCCCAGATGCCCGCGCTGCGCAAGAATCACGCCAGTCGGAGGTGTCCAAGCTCAGGACCTCCTCTTGCAGGAAGAGGCGGAGAGGACTGGCGCGCCCGACATGGGTACGACCATACTGGTGCGATGCCCAACAGTCGAGCGTGGTCCAACACCGACAGCGGCCGTTGTTGGGCAGGCGACCTTCTGCCTCCAATGGCCAACGCCCGCGGCGACGAAGACAGCGACTTGTGCTCAAAGTGTTGGACGCCCGAGTTACCCCTGATGATTCGGGGCTCTGGACGCCCGAATTATCCGGGGTAACTCGGGTCCAGGGATAACTCGGGTTCGGATTCCCGAAAAACGAACCCGAGTCAGCCCTGACCCGAGTTACCCCTGATGATTCGGGGCTCTGAAAATGGGCAGAACACGGTGCTGGTCTCCGTCGCCATTCTTTCCGTACCCTCTGCGGTCCTCCGGGCGAGGAGGAGGCGCGAGCGGCCGCCGCGCGCTCCGCCGCGGCAGCTCGGCCGAGGCCCGCACCAAGGCCGGGCCGCTCTCGGCGGTCGTGCCCGCTGCCCGCGCGGGGAGGGGGGGGGGAGCCCAGGCTGAGGGGGCCCCAGGACACACAAATAAATACACACAGATTAAACTATTCCCCATACCTTCCCAGATTTTCCACTTCCCATATTTCCCCACATTTTCTGGGGAACCGACGATGAATTATGTCTGTGTGTGTTTTTCCCCCCCCCTGACAGGCGTCCAGGCGCCGCGGCGGAGATCGCGGCGGCGCCTCTCCCCCTCAGGCTGGGGGCGCCCAGGCCCCCCCCTGCTGCGTGCCCGGGGGGGCCCTCTTGGAGGGCGACCCCCCAGCGGCACAGGTCTTGCGGATGGTGCCGACGGCTCTGGCGGGCGACGGCCGTCCAGGGGGGACAGCGTGGGAACTTCCCCTTCGACGTTCATGCGTGCCGAAATTTCGTGGCACTTTTATTTGCTGAAGTTGCCACTGGCCAGCGCGCAGTTCAGTTGCGCGCCACGTGCAATCCAAACGCGACGGCACATGGGACAGGCAGATGATACAAAGCTCTTCACTTCTTCGGGAAGCGTTTATCGAAGTGCAATTCACGCGGATTGGTCTGAGGAGCTACGCCGAACTCTTGCCGACTCCCACAGGAAACCACAACTCCGCCCTGGGTGACGCTCGTGAGGCACAAAAGGAATCGGGCACCCAGGACCTGGCGCCGATGAGAGGCCCCAGGCTCGACTGCGCCAACGAGGGGGGTTATCGCATCACGTGTAGCCTGTGCGCAGACGACGATGACGACGACGATGACGACGACGACGACGACGAGCCAGCCCACATCCACAAAAGGAGGGAAGGGGGGTGCACCGGCACCCTCCACCACGCCACGCCCACATGGCCGCGACCACAAGGGGGGGAGCGACGCTCCCCCACTACACACACATTTCCGTCGGAGTTCTTGACTTTGGGTCACCTTGGATATAAGTCGAAGGGACACCGTCGGCCTACAGACAACACATCACATCAACCACAAGCAATCAGCTGTTCGCCGCGGGGGAGGGTCAACTTTATCACGAACGTCGACTCAAACACGTTCTCTGCCTGCCCGGACCGCAGCTGGGACAGACACGGGGCTCATCTCGAGCGCCGCTGACAAACTGCTGTGCAGAACCATGCCGTCGTGCACGGCCCGACCGCGGTGTCTTCTCGGCCACCCGCGCAGCACGCGAACACGCTCGAGCAGATGGACCCGCGGAAGCAACAGACGCCTGCGAGGACGAAGGAGCTGCCACTGTGCATGCATGCCGTGTGTAGGTGTGCATACCTGACTGGCCTCGGGAACTCTGGGCAGCCGGGGGATTTTGTTCCGCCAAGTTACGCTGATGTCAGCTGGCGGAGCCGCGCTTTTGGACGCCCGACATGGGCACCGAAAGAATGGGTACGATGCCCAACAGCAAATGTTGTCCCAAACCAACAGCGGCCGCTGTTGGGCGGGCGGCCTCCTGTTTCAAATGGACACAGGCCGCGGCGGCGCGGACAGCGGATCCTGTTCAAAATGAACAAGAACTGCTGTTGGGCATAGTACCCATTCTTTCGGTACCCATTTCGGGCGTGCGCAGGTAGAACAAGCGCCGCTTGTTCTACCTGCGCCCGCTTCCCGGGGCCTCCTGCCAGCCCCCGCCAACCCAGACAACCAACTATTTTGCTCTCCTCGCTGCGTGGCTCCCCCGAGGCCGGGACGCTTTCCTGTGGACTGGCTGATGGGTGGAGGCAGGGGAACGCCGAAGGGGCGGGCAAGGACACCCGATCTAAAACTCGACTCCCCGCCCCCACGCACCGACCATCTAGAAGGAGTTTGGTAAACCTGCCCTGGCCCAGATCCCCACGTTAGCTGGGGGAGCGCTTGTCTTCCAGATCCAGGGGGCGGGGCTGGGGGTCGGGAGGCGGCTGGTGGAGGGACACGCGTGAGAACACTGCGCCGCGACACCCCGCACGTCTCTTGCGCCCATTCTCCTCCTCCTCCTCCTCCTCCTCCTCCTCCTCCTCCTCCTCCTCCTCCTCCTCTTCCTCGGCCTGTCCTCCTGCGCCTCTTCCTTCTCTCGCGAGCTTGCCGCTGCGGGTCCCTATGGACCTCGCAGGTACCCCAAGCAGACCTCCGACACCGTCATTTCCATACAACTCCGACGTCGCGTCTTCTCACACATTGGCTCTGAGATTCCATCCTGAACCGTCTCTTGGCAGCCCAGGGACACGCATCAACAGCAACGTCCGTCTCGTATGTGTGTGTGTGTGTGTCTGTGTGTGTGCGTGTGTGTGTGTGTGTGTGTGTGTGTGTGTGTCTGTGTGTGCGCGTGTGTGCGTGCGGTTATACTTGTTCTACGCTTTCAGCGCCTGCAGCCTTTGCCTCAGCCCCTGTGTGTGGGTGCGATGCCGCTTCACGTCCACTGCCAGGACGCCTCGGCAACGGCCGGCCGCACAGCCCACTCATATCGAGGACCTTAATGCTAAGAATGCCCCCCCCCTCTTCCTCGCTCCGCGGCCGCCCACTGCCCTGTCTCTCGTGCAGCCGGGCACTTAGTATGCCTCGCCCCAGCTGCAAGAAAGCGCGAGCGGATTGCCTTTGCCGCGCCGCGACGGAAAACAAATATGTGTGTGTGTGTGTTTGTGTGTGTGTGCGTGTGCGTGTTTGTGCGTGTGCGTGCGTGCGTGTGCGTGCGTGCGTGCGTGCGTGCGTGCGTGCGTGCGTGCGTGCGTGCGTGCATGTGTGTGTGTCTGTGTCTGTGTCTGTGTCTGTGTCTGTGTCTGTGTCTGTGTCTGTGTCTGTGTCTGTGTCTGTGTCTGTGTGTCTGTGTCTGCGTGTCTGTCTGTGCGCGTACACATGTGTGCGCGCGTGTCTTCGCGGCGCGAGGGGGTCTGAGGTCCGCCGAGGGCCAGAGGCTGCAGCCCCTCCAAAATCTTCCAGGGGGCGAGGGGCCCCTTTGAAAGCAGCCGACTCGTCGGACCATGGGTGTCCGTTGGGCGTCCGATTGCAATCCTCTTTTTGCAATCCTTAGTTTTTTTTGCAATCCTGCGTCCGATTTGTTTGCAATCCTTCGTTTTTTTGCAATCCTGTTTGCAATCCTGTTTGCAATCCTTTGCAATCCTTCGTTCGAATGGGGGTGCCGACGGTCGGGTCTTCGACCCTCGAAGGCCGCAAACAAACCTCTCAAAAAGCCGTCGTCCCGAGAGGCTCCCCAGAGGTTACGACCCCATCCCTGCGAGGAGGAGGAGGAGGAAGAGGAGGAGAAGGAGGAGGAGGAGGAGGAGGACTCGCTTCTCATCCCGAGCCTCCGTTGAGCGTCGCTTAGTGATGGGGGGGGGGGACGATAAATGGGCGGGGGGGGGGGGGGAAGATATGCACTTCTCGGGCCCGGAAGGCTCCCTTCTTAGGCCCTCAGGGGCTCCTTCAGGGCCTCTTTTCTGCAGCCCTCGCTGCCCCCCCAGTGAGGAGAACAGTAACCGTGTTGGGAGGAAGGAGTTCGGAGGATGAAGGGTATGAGCAACAGCATCCGGATGCAATGAACGATAATTACCTTCCGCCGCCCAATGGGTCGTGAAATCCTCATCTCTCCCCAACCCCCTCCTCCCGACCCGACAACTGCATCCCCGACCCAAGAGATCGCCAGCCCACTGCGCGACGCCCAACACGACCGCCGCATGCCTCCCCGGAGGCCACACCCTGGGCCCCCCCGGCGGCCCTCGCGGGAACAGCTCGGGCGCCCCCCCCCCGGGACGCCCTCGCCGAGGCGCAGCGGCCGGAGCGCACCCCGGGGACGGGGCCAAACCGTGCAGGCCCACGGACACGTGCGCAGAAGACCTCCTCGAGGCCCGCCCGCTCGAGCGCGTGCGGGAGGGGCGGCCGGCGCCTCCTCCTGCGAGACCCAGCGGGCTCCCGGCGGCAGCGGAGGGCGCTCGGGGCCGGCGCCCTCCACCGGAGGGGTGCCCGGGCAGCTGCCGTTGGATGCGTCCTGCGCTGCTGCAGGGGGAGGGGGGAACAGGACCCAGACATGTTGGCGCCGTAACAAAAATCAGGACGGGAGTTTCGCTATTTTCGGCCCCCCTCGCCAGGCCTCGGGACCGTCAACAAACGATTCAGGATGAAAAACCTGCCCCAGGGAAAGGGTCTGGACTTCCAGGGACGCCGTCCTGAAAAAATCAGGACCTCGCATGTCTGGGGAGGGAGAAGAGAGGAGGGGGCGGGGCATCGCGCCACATCTGACATCGTACCCCTCCCACCCGTCCCTGCCCACTTCGCTCAGTCGTCGCCGTCCGCCGATGGGCGTCACGGCGGACCTGGACTGCGCAAAAGGACCCCCTATCGTGCTGCGTGCCATGAATGAGAGTGCATTGATGGGGAGAGGCCGGGGCCGGGTGTTGCCAGAAGTGGCCCTTGCCCACGGTGGCCCCAGCTTGACCAGGGAGGCGCAGGCGGCCCCCGGAGCACCCCTCACGAGTCCCAGGGGGGCCCCGGAGGTGCCGAGAGGGTGCCAAAAGGCAAGAGCAACCGAGGTCAGGGCCACTCCTGGCAACATCCCGAAAGCCGGCAGGGGGGAAAGCTCTGGCGTCCTCGCGTCGCCGACGACGATCGCAACGGAATGCCCTGGGGCGGTGTCGGGCCTCTGGAGCCGTCACCGGGCACAGGCTGGCATCCAAGAACTACTCGGGACGCAGGGGTCCAGACCTCTCGGGAGGCACGACGTGAAACAAATCGCGACGTCGGATCTGGGGAGTGTGGAGGGGGACGGGGGTGGAGCGGGATCGGGCGAGCCGGGTGGGAAGATGGACGGGGCACGATTGGAAGGGGATGGCGGAGGAGGATAAGGGAGGCGAGAAGGGGATCCGGAAGTGCCCTCCCCTTCCACCCCGCACTTCTGCCTCCGGCTCTCCCTCGCCTCCCTTCCTGCCTCCCTCCTTCCACCTGCTTCTCCCTCCTGCTCCTCCTCCTGCTCCTCCTCCTCCTGCTTCTCCTCCTGCTTTTCCTCGTCTCCCACCCTCGTCTCGGGTCGGACGCAAAGGGGGGTGTAGTAAGTGTAGGGGGGGGGAGCGGATCAGCTCATGCAGCTGGCTCTCCCAACGCCTCCCAGCGCAGGAGGCGCCAGTGCGGCGAAGAGAGCGCCCCAAGCGGCGGGGCCGAAGCCTGCCTGCTGCATGCCGCGGATCTCGGGAACCGTCCCTTCCCGCTCCTCCTCTTCTCCGTTCTCCCCTGCAGTCTCCTGGCGAAGACAACGCCTGGCAAATCTTGAAGGCCGAAAGCCACCCGTCAAACAATCACCCCGGCGAGCGAGACCGGTTAGCAAACGCACGCAAGGAAGGAATCGTAATGGGCAGGGCTGCTCAGTAAGCGCCCAGGGCCGCTTAGCAAGCGCCCATCGTAGGGGGGCGAGGTGGTCTTTCCCTCCATGTCTGACGGCGTGGGCAGGAGCGCGACGCCTTGGCAAGACACACGCCACCTGGACTGTCGACCCGAATGCTGGGTCTCTCACGCCGAGCCGATCTCCGCGAGGGCCCCCGCGCCCCAAAGACCTGGGCGACCGACGCCGCGACCCGAACCCTGCGCCGCGAGAGAGTTTGGAGTCCAGAAACGGTGCGGTGACACACCGTGCGGTGACCTCGAAATCCCCCAAGACCTCACCGCACGGTCCGTCACGGCACGGTCTTGGGACCACGGAGGCCCCTGTCGCCCGAGACATCCTCGAAGAACGACCCGAGTCCCAAAACCGTGCGGTGACCCCGAATCCCCACCGACTCACCACACGGTGTGGTCACCACCCCCCGCTTGGGGGCCCCCGAGAGAGGCGCGGGCAGGGAGACGGCAGGCGCTCTCCGCCGGGATCCATGCGCGGAGGCCCCGCGGGGCCCGAGGGCCGGGCAGCGGAGCCCACCGTGGCGTTGCCACGACGCCTCCTGGGGACCTTGGGGCCAGCCAGGGGGCAAGCCCATGGGGGCCGCCGGGGCCGTCTTGGAGCGCCGGAGACCCGAAGGGGCGAGGACGCCAAAAGGTCGTGCCACGGATCCTGGCCTCCTGGAGGGCAGCCGCAGGAACAAACAACAGCAGCGCAACACACACACACATACACATACACACACACACACAAACTGCCGGAGGTCCGCACGGATGCCGCGGCTGGGCGCCGGAGCCGCCCCCCCCCCCCCTGGCACGCGCAAGCGCCAAGGGCGCCGCCGCCAGAGGGATCCACCGCCGGCACAGGGAATCCGCGGGAAGTCCGGTTGTTTGGCGGTCCTCCTTGCTATCTGCGAGCAAGCAGGGAGTTGCCAAACGTGCGGGGAGAGACCGCGCGGTGACCTCGGCATGCCCAGAAAGATAAGAAACCTCGCCGCACGGTCCGCTGAAGGCCCTCGTCGCCCGAAACATCCCCAGAGAGAGGCCCCGAACTCCTCCCGACTCGCCCGGCGGTTTGAAGAGGCAACGACTGCGAGGTCGCCCTGAGAACGACCAGGGGCTACTGAACCCGATGGAAGGGCCACGATTGGGGGGGCGGACTGGCCCAGATCCCCGCCATCCTCCGATCGGATTCTTTCCATCCGCGGCCGCAAACGTCCCGACCCCTTCTCACGGGGGTAGCCGTGCGCCCAGGGGTCCACTCGTGACCGTCCTGGGGCACGAGGGTGGGCCTCGGAGGCCGAAGCCGAGGAGAGTCACCCGGATTGAAACAAAAATCGTATCTCAACACGGGGGATCTGTAGGGCGACGAGATCTATACATATCCACTGCTCCCGGCCAGGCCAATCCTGGGCCCAAGAGCTGTGTATACGCCTTCCTGGCTTGGCCAGGGAGGCATATACACCGCTCCTGGGCCCAGGATGGGCCTGGCCGGGAGCAGTGGATATGCATAGATCTCGTCGCCCTGAGAGAACCGGGTCGTGGGCCCTGGGGCCTTCCCCCTGGACGAGCTGTTCATCCTGAGTCGTTGTCTCGCAGCCCCAGGGTCCGTGGAAGGCCCTGGGAGCCCCAAAAACGGAGAAACACCCCAGGACCCGTTTCTCTCAGGACCCGCTTCCCTCAAGGCGGATCTCGTCGGAGATCCGCAAGGGCGTCCCTGTGTAAAAGTAATCGTTGGTCCGCGGCTTTTTGGGGGCCGCGTGGGGACCAGACACAAGCGCGCAAAGCGCCAACTACTATCGCATCGCGTTCGGCGGCCAGGGGGCCCCGATGCGCCCGCACCAAAAGTCATTCAGGCGAAGGGCCACTCTTACGTGTGCTCGACCATGTCGACCGTGGCGAATCTCGTCGGACATCTGGGTTAAAACCGGCTTCCAGCCACGGATGCACTCGCGCCGACGTCGAACTCTCCACCTCCGCCGCCCGCTCCGCGGGGCACGCCTGGCGAGGTAGGGGGGAATCGGGTGGTCAACGCTGTGGGCGTTACAAGTAGCTGCGTTTGCTGTACGATTTTGAGTCGGTGATGTGTGATGTGATGTGGTGTGCGGTGTTCGTTGCTGTCTTCATTCGGGGGATTATGAATTGAACTCTTGCTTTCGGGGTGGACTCGAACCCGAAACCGAACATAAACAAGACAAGGAAACCAGACACACAAACATAACAGTTGTAAAACAAGCAAAGACACCATTTGTCTTCAAAGAACAATGCGAAACATCCAACCGAAACCGTGGTCTTGATTGTTTGTGTTGTTTGTTTTGTTTTGTTTGTTGCTGGCGTGCACAGAGCGATAACGACAACACTTACAACAGTGTTATTGCGAATGGTCTGGGTTCTCTTCAATGTATAGGTGCAGAAATGTATGGAAGATGGGACAACAACCAATTGATCTGGTACCCCAGCTGGCTCGAAAATGCAGCCAGGGCCTGCATCCCAACATTCGGTAAAAAAGGCATTGCTTCGGGATAGTAACACATGTGGTGGGGTATATTGGGCCTGGCGCTACAACGAAAAACAACACTGTCAATCTTAAACCCTTACGGAGATATACCCAGGACGCCGCTGGAATCCGTGTGTTGTGTGGCAGACGTCGACATCATCTGAGGCAGCCACTTTCCTTTTCCTCTGCTCCCTCGTCTCTTCCTCCTCCTCCTTTTCCTCTTCCTCCTGCTTCTCTTTTTACAGCGCTGCTTCGCCTGCCAGCTGCTGCTTAGCCTGCCGCTGCTTAGCCTGCAGCCGCCTACGGTTTCACCTATGTTTCGTGTACAAGCGTCGCCTTTCGAAACCGGGTCCGCTGCTGCGGTGCCCGCCAAAAAGAACAAATGGTTTCTTTGATGTTTTATGTGGTCGTTTTTTTTCTGTTTGCTCGGACCTTGATGCCCTTCGTTTCCTTATTCCCGAAGCCGAGAACCTGAAAAACAACGGACAGCAGGAACACTATAAAATCTGTAACAAATCAAACAAACCATTGGTTTTCAAAGAAAAATACGAAGCATCCAATTGAAGCGTGGTTTTGATTGGTTGTCTCAGACTTCCCATTGCATACCATATGTTTAGTATGTTTTAAATGTGTCTGGTTGTTCAGTTTTTGTGTGTTGTTCCCCTGGACCTTGGCTTCCTTTTGCTTGTACATATCCGACACCGAAAATCCGAAACAAAATCAATAACAAAAACAGAAAACCCGTATCACATCAAATACCACATTGGTGCAACGCTTTTCAATAAAACAAGGAAAACATCACACCGACACCTTCTGCTCGTAGAAAATCATGTGGTATACCTGTCTACTATTTACTTTCACGTTTTTTTGGATGATTGGTTTGATTTACTATATATGTATATTTTTATACATATACGTCTATATGTATCCCTCGTGGCTCCGCAGAGTACAGCGTTCAGCGACCTACTGGACAGCAGGCTGGTAAATTGCCAGTAGCATCTCCCACGCTGGACGGTCGATCTCCGCTGTTGCAACGGGCTGAAACCACTTGGATGGGCTCAGCTTCGACTGAATGTTGTACGTATGATAGGGGATGATGGTGCGGTCCAGGGCTAAGCGCTGCGCGTGCACGCGTGCGCCTTCGCTGCAAAGACCGAAACGTGCAGGAAACGATTCAGGGGCAGGTGTGCGGACAAACCATGCGCTGCAGAGTGCGTGCCAGAGGTGGGAGCAATGAGCAGAAGGAGGCATGGCATCGAGGGCGCCAGGGTCCTCCAAGCGGCAGCAGCCGAAAATGCAAGGTCCGTCAGCGTTCTTCGCGCTGGCGTGGAAGCGGCGGCTCGTCGTCCATCCGCCCACCTAGATCTTGAGGAGGGCGGAGTGAGCAACAGGGGAGAAAGTAGTCGGGAGGAGCTCTTCGACCGGCCCCCATCCGATCTGACGCAAAGTGAACTTTTCAGGCGGTGCCGCCCAGGAGTTGAGACGAGTGAGGAAGGTCGAGGGGGGCGATCATGCAAAAGGGAGGCGCGCGGTGAGAGTGGACAAGTTTCTGCATGCGAAGGCGACCATTCGGGCGAGCAGCGAGGAGGCGTGTCTTTTCCGCGGCCCACTCACTCAGAGCAGAGCCACAAACGGTGGCCAGCTTCACGTTCTTGTCACTCGTGAAGCCCGAGACAGCCGACTCGAGCGCGTGGGCAATCGGCTTGGGCTCCCAGTGGGGCGGCGCGCACAGACTGCCCGAGAGCTCGAAGAGGGAGAGCGCTTTCTCCGCAGCCTCACGCATGCGACGTGCCCAGAATGTCCAGTTCAGGACGGCGCCGGGGGCACTGCGCATCAGGGCCGCGCGGTTGTTCAGCTCGAGCGACACCCCTCAATGGCGACCAGCGACCCAGCGCCGGAAGATCATCGCGAGGGAGTGCTTGCGGGGGTAGGTGCCAGACTCGGCGCAACGCCCCCAACTCTTTCCGCTTCATCTTGGGCGGCCAGAGGAACTTTTGGCTCAGGTGGGAGGTCTTGCTGACGGCGCGCTGGCTGTACAGCAACAGGGAGGTGTTTGTGGGCGCGCCGACGTCCGCGCTCAGGTTGGTTGCGCGCTACCAGCCCTCGATTACCGTCTGCCGGCGCATCGGGTATTCCACGCCAGGGCCCAGACGCGCCCCGAGGTACTCTGCCGCGTCAGCGATCGACATGCCCTGCCAGCGAGGGATAATTAGGGTCGACGATCTTATTTCGGATCCTGCTCCCAACCGTCGGCGATGGGGGCCTCCGCCAGAAGGGCGATCTTGCACTTCGCCGTCTTCAGCACCGGGCGCGCCAGAACAACGGCCGCGTTGCAGACATTGCTCAGCGGGCGGAGCATCCTCCAGGGCGCAATCACGCGGCCCGCGTCATCCGCGCAGACGCCGACCACCGCCCCTTTGAGGTGGGCCTTTTTCGAACGCATGTCTCAGATCAGCGGGTCCATTCCAGCGGCCCGGAGCGAGCCGGAGCACGGGCGGCCCTGCAGGATGCCAGAGGCGAGGGTGCAGAAAACTCCGGGGGCACCGCCCAAGTTGGCGCGCGCCACGGGGAGAATGTCGACCGCGTCGACCACGTTGCGCATGCGCCTGGGGAAGCCTGCAATCGAGGGCCGCGTTCAGCCGCGCTCTGCGAGTCGAAGGGAACGCGTCGCCGAAGCCGAACAGCGCCATCAGCGGGCCCTTGGACCTCACCTCGTCCTGCATGGCCGCGATGCGGGGCCGCGCGTCCACGGCCCCCACGCGCTCGATGAAACGGCGCTTCGGGGGGAACCCTTTCTGCGCGCCATGGACGCCCTCAGCAGCGATTGGTTTCGCCCGCTCGTTGCCCATCGGGGCCGCGATCTTGCAGTCAGTGTTGTTCAAGGATAACGGCCACGTTGCTTTGGCCAGTCGAGTAAATGCATGTCCATCATCAGGTTATGATCCTTTCGGGGTGAAGATCATCAGCGTATTGTTGAAGTCCAGTGGGACAGGGTAGCCCTTCATGACGTCAATGGTGACATCCGGCAACACCTGCTCTGCTGAGGAAATGCGCTTCCATGCCATGCATGGAATGCCGTCAGGTCCAGGGGCCGAGTTCAGGTTTCGAAGGAGGGCCTGCATCTTGCCAAGCGTGGGGGTGTCCATCTGGGCGCAGTCGAAGGGGGCGATGTGCTTCTCGAGGCAGCGTCGGCCATGAGCAGTGCGGCTCGCTGTCGCCTGAAAGACGGCCGCCCACTGGCGGCGGAACTCCGCGACCATGGCCGACGGCGTCTCCACGGCGACGTGGTCGCGCGGCACCTCGATCGCTCTGATTTTGAGCACCTTGCAAGAGAGGGCCCAGAGCTTGCCGTGCTTCTGGATGGCCCTCTGCATCTTGCGGAGCCTCTGGCGAATGAAAAAGGGGGCGTCTCTCGCCTGTTCCTCCTGCTGCAGCGCCTCCATGCGAAAATCCTGGTACTCCTGCTGCTACTGCTCGAAAGTGCGACAAAAGGTGCCAGGCTCGATTGGCGCGATGTTATTGGGGTCGGTGGTGTCCAGGAACTTGGCGCCCAGGAAGGTGCGACCCCGCAAAGCGCGGCAGCCCTCCAGTCGTTCCTCCAGACAACGCGCGAGATCGCCCTGCATGCGGTCAGCGCCGCGGCCGAGCAGGGGGCGCTGGCGTCGGTCAGGTCATTGCGGGCGAGCCTCGCCGCCTCGCGCATCAGGCGCTTGAGCTCCTGGAGGCGCGCGAAGAGGGGGTAGCTCTAAGTCGGCGTGACTGAGCAGCAAGTCCATGTACTTGGCGAAGAGAGCGCGCCGAAGATGCACTGCGGGATCGGGCACCCGCGCTCGCCCCCCCCCCCGCGCCCTCGCAACAAGCCGAAGGCGAACAGGTGCGCGATCAGAGACGCCCTTATCGAAGAGCGCATCGGGGGGCGTCGGGGCGCCCACCTTCGCGTGCCACTGGATGAGCACCCAGGTGGGCGAGCTGGTGTATATTTGTCCGATGCGTGCGCGCTGCTGCGAGTGCTCAGCGTAGCGCGTTGGGGCCGCTGGGTCGACCTCTACCGTCGTGTCCAGAGCTTGCCCCCAAAGACGCTTGCGTTCAGGATGGTGGTTGCGGCGCCTAGGGCGTCTTTGGTTGACCGGCGGCGCAGTCAGCTCCAGCGGGGCATCGTCCATGAAATTAAAATCGCCCGTGACAAGGGCCGCGGCGCGCTCGGGCCGCTGCTCCGCGATGCTGAGCTCGGCGCGGATAGGGCCCACCGCGCGGCGCACCTGGTCCTCCGACAGCTCGAATCTGCGCGCGTTGCGAATCACAAGCGTGTTCGGGAGCTCGCCATCAGCATTGGGTGACTGCGCTGATTTAATGTGTAGACCCTGCGCGCGGCCAGGGGTGGGCTCCGAGCGTCGACGACCATCAGGGTCGCAGGCCTCCTCCCGATGGGGGGCCAGGAATCAGCGAGGCAACGCCGCCGGTGCTACGCTCAGGCATTGAAGCGAGGCAAGCCGCAGTCTTGTGCGCCGAGTGTATCTCGCGGGCGAGCTCCGCCTCCGAACCCTGGACGTCTTGCCAGGCCAGCTCCGCCGACGAGTTGAGCGCGCGCAGCATGTGAGCGACCTTCTGCTCGCGCTTGATCGGATCTTGGCAGAGGAGGGCTCGGGCGCGCCATTTGGTGACAGAGATTGCGCCAGCAGACTTCGCCCGCGCCAGGGAGCCAAGGTCTTGTTCAGTCCGCCACTGGACGTTCTTCGCCTCCAAGGATGCATGAAAGACTTGTTCGAACTGCTCGCGGATGTCCTCGCGATTGGCCCCGTGGACAAGACGGCCGTCGCACTTGAAAAGGAGGCGCGTGGCGTCATCCTCGGCGGCGGCCGCGACGATGGGGAGGGAGCACGGGCATGTTGTCGCAGTGCGCGACACCCTGCTCCCTATCCGCTTGCCAGCGCTTGATGTCGTCCTGCTCCCCCGCAGAACCGGGTGGCCTTTTTCGACTGGACCTCCCCGCGCGCGGTCTTGCCCGAACGGTCCAGACCGAGGAAGAGCCTGGTGGCGTTGCCGTGGACGCTGAGGACCTCGGTGTTGAGCCAGGCCCCCTCGGGGCCCTTGCGCGCGCCGTAGAAAGAGCGGACCTTGCGAGCAGAGGCGTCGCCACTGAACTGGATGACGAAGCGCCGAGGAGGACTGTTTCCGACGACCTCCCAAGCGCCGTCGACGAACTCGCACTTGTCAGTGATTGGCTGGATGCTGAGCTTGAAGTGTTCAGCGGTGAAAATATCTGTAGCCGTGCCGACGACAATGCTGGCGTCCGCAGGCCTGTCCCACTCGATGAGGCTCGCGTAGTCCTCGGTAGGGGATCTCGGCTTCCTGCGTGTAGAGCCGCTGTCGCATTTCCTGAACTTGGGCGCGGAGCTCTGCGCGATCGGATTCGAGCTTCGAAGTGGAGGCGTCGAGGCTTGGATTTGCCCCGTGAACTGTTTGTTCATTCTTTGCTGCTGAACAACCGCGGCGCCGATGGGGCCCTCGAGCAGCGCGCCGGACTCCGCGATGACCTCTGTCCTGAGCGTTGCGAGCTTCAAGTCCAGCTGCGCCATGAGGAAGTCCCGCGAAGCCTGGAGGGCGGCGTCGACGGCGCCCGCGGGATCGACCGAAGCGGGGCCGGCAGAAGTGAGCGACGCACTTCCCCTGTCGTAGGAAGCGCCTTCACGTCGGCGTCGTCTGCCTCCGGCAGGGTCGCGCCAGGGGCCTCGGCCAAGAAGAGGGTATTCGGCAGCAGCTCGGGGGGTGGCAGGCGCGCGGTCGCCGATCCCACCGGGGCCCCTGGCGCTCCCAGGGCCGTCAGCAGTGGGGGCGCCGCCAGCAGCGCCACCTTCGGGAGCAGCCTGCGCTGCCTCGGACATAATCTGAGACGAGGGTCCGAAAGTGCCCGGGGCGAGCCATGGCTTGGATATGAAGTCACGAAGTTACCTGGGGCGGGCCAGGTCGTGTATATGGGGCGCCTGAGGGCGCCGGGACTTCGACGTGAAAACTGAAGATCGCTGACGAGACTTCTGGAGGGATGGTGGCCGACCCCGCTCAGGCAGTGATTTGGAATCCATATTGGCCTTGAGCCAACATGGCTATGTAATTTCATGTAATATACATATATATATATGAATAGGGATAGACTCGTTTGAAAGAAGAAGCAACAACACAAACCAACGCAATATCATTTCTGAATGTGTTTATGTTTTTCCTCGGTGCCGTTTGCCTTTTTAGCTGTACTTGGCCCGTGTCCGTCATTGTTGTCCCTCTGTTTGTCCATCCTTTTCCTCCTTCCTCTCTCTTTTTTCTCTCTCTCTCTCTCTCTCTCTCTCTCTCTCTCTCTCTCTCTCTCTTGTTTTTTATTCTCTCTCTCTCTCTCTCTCTCTCTCTCTCTCTCTCTCTCTCTCTCCCTCCCTCTCTCCCAATTCACTCGGCTACTCCTCGTTCTTCTCACCGTCTCTTCTGTCTCTGTTTTTTTCCATTGCTGTAATGCAGATTTGAATTTCGTCGGACGGCAACTTGGAGCAATGCCCCCGCGCGACGGTTCCGCCTCGTCGGCGCCATCGTGAAAACATGCGCGCGGCTGCTTCCAAGAAGCCGAAGAACCTCGGATTGCCATCCCTGCTGCGACGGAACACGGCCCGCGGAATTCGTAGCAATTGTGGCCCTAGCGGATGTGCAAATTTACCTGGCACTATTTTGCGATGGTTGTGGTAAAGCGAGCTTGCGAACGCTGCGCCAGAAAATTGGGGCCGTTGAGCAATCCATTGTTTGCCAAATCGTGCATATATATATATATGTATGTATATGTATCCTGCCTTTTTTACAAGCATGGATTGTCTATGGGATGCTGCAGTGCTGCTGACAACTTGACAAAAGAAGGCCGTGATTCATTCGCGAAAACATAGGTTCACAGATGCACGGACGTGGAGAGAAGCGTTTTGGCTCAATCTCCCGCAAGAGTCACACAACCTCTTGGGATCGACTTTGGACAGGCATCGCTATATTGGCGACCGCATACTTGAAACATTGAAATTGGATCATTCGCCAGCTGGATTAAAACCGCCAGATCTGATACTTCAAACAACTGCATGCGGCGCGAGGGCAGCTTCTTGGAAAAATGCTATCGTACTACCTGGTTTGGTGCGGGGATATCTCAATGAAGCTTTGCACGTCCTTATGTTCTTCACTGTGTTGGTTGCGACCGATGCGACGACGTCGGAAGAGGAAGCGGTGGTGGCGACGATGCACTGCATATCTGCCAGCGGCTGTGGAGCGGAACGCCACATTGTCGGTATTTGGCAACGTTTGTTGAAGATTCTGATAATAATTTGATGGCAAAAACTTTGCACTCGTGCGTTGCAATCGTTGGACTGCATCTTCGGGCGACGTACAAAAACGCCCCCCGTGGAACACACCACTGAAGGAGTTTGCGAAGCGGTTGTGGCCATTGCGCATATAGAAAGTTGCCGGAGTGGCTTGGTCGCGCGGCGTCCATCACGCGGGCGTATGTCGAAATGCCGTTTCGCTGCCTTGAGTTCCAGGCGTATCTGGTAAAGCTGGATCTTGCATGGTTCGATGCATAATGCGGTTACCGACGCGAGGGTGATGCTACTCGGCGCCAAGTAACGTGGCCAGGCATGCTGCCTTTGGGATTGCGGCTGTCCCCGTGCGCTATGTTTAAGGCGGACGTCACAGACGCCGTTGAAGGGAAACTCGTGGAGGATGGAGATGATGCGGATACTAAATGCAAAGCGGTGCAACAAGGGCACGTCGCAGGAGCAGCGACCTGTTGGCACAGTCTGCGCTGTGTTGACGCGGGATTTCGCTAACGATGCCTTCCAACGCGACGCGATGCGATGTGCAATTGATGCGCGCGGCTGCGCCCAGACGTCTGGGCTCGCTCCAAGAACGAATCAATGAAAGGCGATCGCCTGTTCAGTGTGGTAATGGGATACGATGCTGAAGAAGATCGTTGGTGCGAGCTGGATCGCAGTCTCAATGTGCCACAGGTGCGGGGACCGAAAACAACGAAACTGCCCGATTACGTGTATGGGGTGGGTGTGCACCGAGTGTCAAAGAGACGAAGAAGTGTATTATCCCCGTGCTTGTTGATGCTGTGGCAGCAGAGTTGAAGGAACATGCTGGTATGGCTTTCGTAGTCATCATCGTCATTTTCCCATAATCGTGAACTGCCTCTCCTCTCGTCTCCCTTCTCGTTTCAGTTTCCTGCGTTTTTCTTGGCCTCTGATGGTCTCCGTTGTTATTTCCCTTTCTCGTCCTCTTCCTCTCCTTCTGCATTCATGTTCGTGGCGGTGAACGTATACACGTAATCACACGTATCGAAACAACTTTCGTCTCCCTCCTCCACCACCACCCCTTCGCCTGCCGCAGCGGGGGTTGCGCCGGGCTCCCTGCGCCGACGGCCGACGTCCGACTGGAAGGGCCGACGCGAGCGAACGAGGGGGCAGGGGTCGCTTCGAACGCTGGCGCGGAAGAAAGAACAACGCAGAGAGCAGAGGAGCGAAAAACACAAAGGTGAGTCCTATACCAGTAGAGGGAGGGGAAGGACAGGAAGGAGGAGGAGGAGGAAGATGAGGAGGAGGAGGGAGGAGGAAGAGGGGGGGGAGGGAGAGGCAGAGGAAATGGAAGTGGATGAATAATAAAGGAAGAGAGGCGGCTAGGACGACGAGGGCACGGATCATGACCCGCAGTGGAAAATTAAGAGGGCGATTCTCAAAGAACACGGACACTGATGCAGGACGGAGGATCACCAGCATCACTAGCACCATCAGCATCTCATTAGCTTCATCATTTACATTCTCGGAGGGACAGCCAAAACATTGACCACCCTGCTCCCCTGCTCTCCGCCTGGCCAGGCGCGCCGCGCCCACCGCGCGGTCGCCTGGCCCAACGCCAGCAGGCTGCCAGCCGGGTGTGGCGAGGGGTGTGCCTGCGAGAAGACTCAGACCCCCTCGGGTCATGAAAAAGTCAAGATGGGATGCTTCTCGCTGTCTTCGGCCTCAAGAGGCTCTCGCCGGGCCTCCCGTTCCCGGGGAACGGACGGGTCGAGACCTCTGCGGGTCGACGTCATCGAAAAGATCATGACGTCGAGGGTCTGGGTCCGCCGCCTCCCACGCCCTCTTCGAAGACTAGGCCAGGACGAGGATAATAGCGGGTGAGGATAAATCGAGAATCTCCCCCTGCCCCGTGCGACCTTGCCCTCCTCGGCCCCGTCCACTTGAGTCCGCTCCTGGAAGTTCGGGGCGGACGAAAGGTACTATGGCAAAGGGTAGCGTAGAACATCGGCTTACGTGGCCGGCTTTCCCAGCGCCTCCAAGCGCCAGCGGGCGCCCATGCATCGAGGAATGGGCCTGGCGGCGGGGCCGACACCAGCTGCATGCAGCAGACTTCGTACCCATCCCCTTTCCCTACCCTGCCCCTTCGTCTGGCCCGACAGTTCGGGTGTTGGCAGAAGTACCCCTGGCCCAGGGTCCCCCCGGGATTCTCGGGGTGGCCCAGATGGCCTCCAGGGCACCCCTCACGAGGCCCCGAGGGCCCCAGGGGCTCCAAAAAATGGAGCGAACAGCTGGGGGTACCTTGGGCCAGGGGCACTTCTCTAGCAGTCCAGCCCGCCGAGCTTGACCTCGCCGGGCCGGCCCCGGCGCCCCCGAGAGGCCGGGCGGAGCGGCGGGCGCTCCGGCTCCGAGCCGCTGGCCCGCAGCAGGTCGCTCTTCTGCGCCCGGCCGAGCAGGCGCGCGAGCGTGCGCGGCGACAGCTGCTCCAGCGCCTGGGCAGTCGCGAGGAGTCATGGGGCACAGCACCCGCCCGGCTTTGAGCAGAGAGTATACTAGAGCCACCCTCAGACAGCAGAGAGTATACTATAGCCACCCTCCGACAGGCGATGAAGCCTCTCAGAAAACGCACCCAAAAGAGGACATCGGACAGGACATGGCTGTGCAGTTCACGCCGAGGGCCGCTTTGGGGTGGCGCCCCCTCCCCTGATTGAGGGCCCTTTGCCCCAATTCTTCTGCGGGGCGCTGGGGCCATCGGGGGATCCGAGATTTCCGTCGGGCACATGCTGGTAGACAGTTAGCTTGTATGATGTGCCTATTGTTGAAATTGGGGAGCGCGCCGTCGTCGTCGTCGTCGTCGTCGTCGTCGTCGTCGTCGTCGTCGTCGTCGTCGTCGTCGTCGTCGTCGTCGTTCGTGTTGAACGCTGTTAGATTCTCGAATAGCTTCCAACTGACATAGCTGACACCCGTTCTGGGTCCTCTCCTCCTCTTCCTCCTCCTCCTCCTCCTCCTCTTCCTCCCTCCTCCTAATCACCCTCGTCATCACAACCTCCCCTGCCTGGAAGGAGGAAGCGGATAAGGATGGGGACGAGGAGAGGAAGATGGAGGCGCAACAAGGGAACGATGAGATCCAGACATCTGGCACCTCGAAAACAGCCCAGCGGCTGGTTTGTTGTATTGTTCTTCATATGCAGACCCGTTTCGGACCTTGGAGCCTTCAACAAAACTACGCGGGGTGAAAGAACAGCAATGTGGAAGGGATCGGGAGGTCCGGCGGCCTACGCATATAATTATAGCCGGAGTGCAGTATCCCCAAACAGGGTTTTTAGACCCACTGCGGTTTCCAAGGTCGATTGCGTGCCCGTCCAGTGCGGGCTGGCATGGCATGTTAAACATGCTTCCTCCTCCTCCTCCTCCTCCTCCTCCTCCTCCTCCTCCTCCTCCACCTCCTCTTCATTCCGAACGGCATCTCGGAGCCCAGAATTGCGAGGATGTCTCCAGCGTAACGGGCTGGACCACCTCGCGCGCGGCATTTCGGACCCCAGAGTTGCGACGATGTCTCGGGCGAAACGTGCTGCGAGGAAGTCTCAGGCGAAACAGGCCAGACCACCTCGAGCGCGGCGTCTCAGAGCTCCGAGTTGTGGGGGCCTCCTGGGGCCTCCTGGTGACCGCCCAGTGCTTCCTCCTGGGCCTCTTGTGGCCTCCTGGACCCCGCCTGGGGCTTCCTGAAGCCTCTTGGGGCTCCCAGGGGGGGATATCTAACATGTTGCCGTCGGCGCCCCCCAAAATGGGGGGGGGGTACAAGAGCAGGAAAAATCAACGAATCGGCACCGGATGTGTATCAACTTGACAAGTTCTGATAGGGGGCGTCCTGGGGCCTCCTGGGAGCCTCCTGGGAATCTCCTGCGGATCCCTGGGGCCTGTCCTGGGCGTCCTGCGGCCTCCTGAAGCTCTCTGGGGCCTCCTGGGGCTCCCAGGGTCCCAGGGGGGACATGTAACATGTGGTCTTCTAGGCCCCCAGGCTGGACCACCTCTTGCGCGGCATCTGGGAGCTCCGAGTTGCGAGAATGTCTTGTGCGAAACGGGCTGGACCACCTTGCGCACGGCATCTCAGAGCTGAGAGTTGCGAGGATGTCTCAGGCGAGATGGGCCAGACCACCTCGCGCAGACATCTCGGAGCCCAGAGTTGCGAGGATGTCTCAGGCGTAACGGGCTGGACCTCCTCGCGCGCGGCATTTCGGACCCCAGAGTTGCGACGATGTCTCGGGCGAAACGTGCTGCGAGGAAGTCTCAGGCGAAACGGGCCGGACCACCTCGAGCGCGGCGTCTCAGAGCTCCGAGTTGCGGGGGCCTCCTGGGGCCTCCTGGGACCTTCTGGTGCTTCCTCCTGGGCCTCCTGTGGCCTCCTGGACCCCACCTGTGGCTTCCCGAAGCCTCTTGGGGCTCCCAGGGGGGGATATCTAACATGAGGCCGTCGGCGCCCCCCAAAATGGGGGGGCCACAAGAGCAAGAAAAAACAACGAATCGACACCGGGTGTGTATCAACTTGACACGTTCTGATAGGGGGCTTCCTGGGGCCTCCTGGGAACCTCCTGGGAATCTCCTGCTCCCCCCTGAGGCCTGTCCTGGGCGTCCTGCGGCCTCCTGAAGCTCTCTGGGGCCTCCTGGGGCTCCCAGGGTCCCAGGGGGGACATGTAACATGTGGTCTTCTGGGCCCCCAAGCTGGACCACCTCTTGCGCAGCATCTGGGAGCTCAGAGTTGCGAGAATGCGCACGGCATCTCAGAGCTCAGAGTTGCGAGGATGTCTCAGGCGAGAGGGGCCGGACCACCTCGCGCAGGGCAATTCGGAGCCCAGAGTTGCGAGAATGTATCAGGCGTAACGGGCTGGACCACCTCGCTCGCGGCGTCTCGGAACCCAGAGTTGCGACGATGTCTCGGGCGAAACGTGCTCCGAGGAAGTCTCAGGCGAAACGGGCCGGACCACCTCGAGCGCGGCGTCTCAGAGTTCAGAGTTGCGTGGGCCTCCTGGGGCCTCCTGGGGACCTCCTGGTGCTTCCTCCTGGGCCTCCTGTGGCCTCCTGGACCCCACCTGGGGCTTCCTGAAGCCTCTCTCCCAGGGGGATATCTAACATGTGGCCGTCGGGGCACCCCAAAATAGGGGGGAGGGGCCACAAGAGCAGGAAAAATCAACGAATCGACACCGGATGTGTACTAACTTGACACGTTCTGATAGGGGCCTCCTGGGGCCTCCTGGGAGCCTCCTGGGAATCTCCTGCTCCCCCCTGAGGCCTGTCCTGGGCGTCCTGCGGCCTCCTGAAGCTCTCTGGGGCGTCCTGGGGCTCCCAGGGTCCTAGGGAGGATATGTAACATGTGGTCTTCTGGGCTCCCAGGCTGGACCGCCTCTTGCCGGGCATCTGGGAGCTCCGAGTTGCGAGAATGTCTTGTGCGAAACAGGCCGGACCACCTTGCACACGGCATCTCAGAGCTGAGAGTTGCGAGGATGTCTCAGGCGAGATGGGCCGGACCACCTCGCGCAGGGCATCTCAGAGCTCAGAAGTTCGAGGATGTCTCAGGCGGGCTCCCAGGGTCCCAGGGAGGATATGTAACATGTGGTCGTCTTGGCCCCCAGGCT